AGTTTCGACAGTGAAGGGGTGAGAGCGGGATGCCAGCCTCGTAAGGCGCTGGAACTCATGACGTCTGGGAACCAGCAAATGCAGCTCCTCGGAGCAATTGCCATGAAAGTATTTGTAGAACAGGCAGAAGGAGGCGACGGCGCGTCTGTGAGAAAGTGACTGTAGACGAGACGCCAGGGCAGGGCCAACCATATTGCATATCCGCCTCTGGAGCCTATCAAGAACCCCGAGGCAAACAGAAGGGGCTCCAGACCATATATGGCAGCAATACTCCATGCAAGGGCGAATTGTTGATTTGTAGAATTCTATCAGAATCGCATCACTCTATAGGTTTAATATGTCCGGTGAGAATACACATCCTTGTCGTACACATCTTTCTATACTTGTAGATTTACTGAATTCATTTTTTATCCGTATGCATAGTGGTTTGCTGCCAGTTATTTTTTTTTTTTTTTTTTTAGTAGGGTTCTTCTAGTACAAGGCAAGTGTGCCAATCGTGTTAGATGTTTACATTAAGAGGCATTTTATATAGATAGTTGAGAGAGATAACGGTTAAATCTAGACTTGTCAGGTTGAGATTATAGTATTCTGGGAAGCCTCATCTTGAGAGGCGGTTCCAGAGAGCAGTGCTTCGTAGGAAAGAAGCTGTTCGAGGGAAACTGACTTCTCACCGATGGAATACGGATGAAGTTTGGGTCATTTGCTACAATATATGTGGCAGGGCGCGTCATTACGATGAAGGTTAGACCAGGCGGTACCAAAGATTGTAGTTCGTCCGCGCACTTTCCATGGTAGTAGTGATAGAGCGGCGAAAGACTTGCTACATCCAACCTATGAGAGAGGTTGAAGTGTGGGAAAATAATTGTTACCCAAAATGACTCGGAGACGCTTTTGAACTCTATCGAGACTGGAAAGCAAGGACTGGACAGTTCCCGCCCAAATATGACAAAAGTACTCCATTTTCGGCCTTATCTGGTTCTTGTAAAGGTAGACAATTAACATGTGGTGTCATATAGTTACTGAAGCAGTATAGGGAACATTTTGAATTATTTTAATATGCTCCCTAATTATGTATAAGTTTACTTAGCATTTCCAACAGTTAGGTACTTTGTATAATCTATAAAGCGCCATTGAACTCCATTTATCTGTTGTCGCTTGCATGTAATTAATTAGGAGACATTACCTTCGGAGCATTTCAAGTATTAAATATTACATTAATTGATTTATAAAATAAACAATTATATTTTACAATTCATAAAAATAAATTCAATGAAAATTATACTTGAATATCTTTTTGTAAAAATGAAACATAGATGTATTTTTGAAACCACAACCTGGAAAATATGAACATGTATTAAGACGTTATTGTGTAGCAGTAACTATTTTATAGTAGTTGAAAGAACAAAATTGTTTATTAAAATGAAAACAAGAAAGGTTTTGGAATATACAAATCATTCAAAGAGCTATCATTTTTATCCCCTGTTTTGAACTGTTTCAAAATTTTGGTATGTCTTATTTAAATTTTAGTTTTAGTTACAAAGCGTCGAAAGAAAAGAAAAGTAAAATAAAAGAAGATATCCTAATATTAAACATTATTAATCGTTTATGTACCTTCGGGACGTTTGTGATCGTGGCTCTCCACAATTTCCTGTCTTTTGTAGCTCTTAATAAATCTTGTCTTTTTGCTATCGCTCCTAAACCCTATTCTGCCATCCATTTACGCGATGGTAGACTATGCGTTGTTTACTTCGGTCCTACTTGCCTTTAATCTGCCCTGTGAGTATCAAATTTTCCGAGCCCTCTTTCTTCATTTTTCGTCCGAGAAAATTCAGCAGTCACTTCCTGATATTAAGTAAAACTGTTCTTTCTTATTCTATTTTCTCTAAAATTTCGTCATAGCTCACATTTCGGTCCATGGTATTCTCAACATCTTTCTGTAGCACTATATTTTTCTTGCTTCGAGTCTCGTCTTCATCTGCTAGGAGATTATCAAGCATTCAATGCCTTATAGGAGGACTGATGTTACGTAACACTTCACTAATGTTTTCTTTGTTTCTAACGAGATTTTTTGTTACTTAATATTTTGCTTAGCTTTTGGAAGGCGTCATTCGCTATGCCAAAGTGCATTCGGAATTCTCTGTCAAAATAAAAGCGGTGTCAATGGAAAAGCCGTCCTTTTTTGATACTCCTAGTTTGGTCGGCTTAAAAACATTATGTTATAAAAAACTGCGAGTAGAATGAATTTGGGCCAACGGCAAAATAAATCATTAAACTCTTTTATTAAATAAAAGAGACACTTGCTCAGTGAGTGATTTGTATAGTTTTAAATTTCTATATTATTTTGCATTTTCATATTTTTCCCCTAATAATTTCATAAAATGGATCCTGACACACAATAATGGTGATTATTAATTTTTTTTTTTTTTTTTTTTTGGTAACTGGTTATTTTTCTGACGCTTTGTCATTTTACTGATTATCTTTTACAAATACATAAATGTAATGGTACATCTCTGTTTAGAATTATATAGTTAATAGACTCTCCCACCTATAATAAGTAGGAGTAGTAGTAAGTCGCTCAGGAAGTTGGTCAGTCAGTCGATGTCGGACGACCGTTAGTTGGATATTAAAGTATCAGCCACCACAACTAGATTGCTGCGTCATTGACTATTAAATCAAGTTCCTAACGTTTTGTACGTCGAACCTATTTTAGGACCGACTTAGTGAAATACAAGTCTCCACTGTGAAACTATTTTACAACAAATATATATATATATATATATATATATATATATATACAAACAGTTAATATAAATTTATTTTATTTAAATATAATTTTAATACTAAGATAGTTTAAACGAGAAGACTATTGTCATTGGTTACTTACAGTCACTGGGCATTCGCTTCATTACTAGAATTAGAAAAAATAGAACCAAAGAAATTAGATTGCTAAAAATTAATCAATAAACGATAATTAAAAATAAACATCGTACACGAAAAAAATAAAATAAAGTAAACAAAAATGGCGTTGTTAAATAGGCTGGTATTTCCTTGTATGCCTTTTTTGACTCCTATGGCAATGATTATCTTCAAGATTATATAATATAGCAAGATTAAAACGTGTACCAAATAAAATGCGATATTTATCTTTTGCCATTTCATAAAGAAATAAATGTGGAAAGAAATCTTTTTATTCAAAATTTTCTAAGAAATAACAAAAATTATCAAAATATGAAAAACAAATAAGATATATTTATTATTTACCATTATAAAAATAAATCTGAAAATTTTAATTAATTCATGTGGCAAATGGAAGAAAACCCCTAAATCCATTTTTTTTCAAAATTTTCATTATAGTTATTCTTCGTTATGTGTTGATTTAAATTTTCTTGTTCACAGACATTTTTTTATAAACTTATGAATACGAAAATATTTATCATATTTATTTATTTACTAGCAGCATGGCCCAGCGTTGCCCGTGCTTGATTGAAAAAATCGTACGACTCATACAGCAGTCACTATCACTTGACTTAAAATATTTTTTGCTCTTCCTTGCCTTTAAAGAAGTGCCCTGTGCCGAGCTGATGATGCTACATGCTTTACTTCTTGCCTATCTCACACTGCGAATTTTTTCTAAGCTCTATACTAAATATTAAATCTGTTACGAAAAAGGAACTAAACAAAATGAACACAAAACGATCAGCTTTTAAAAAGGACTCGTAACTGGAAAAACCGAATGAAAAAAGAATGTTAACAACAAATACTTTTTCACACCCAACCCAGTTCTGCGGAATCAGAATCACCCGTTGAGTTTAAGCAAGCAAATGAGCCAATTTGAGTAAAGTGCCATACAGATTTAAATTTTCCCCACTTGTGACGAATGCAGCTATCGATTTTTTTGCATGGTAGCATGCTAGTTAACATTCGTGTCATTCAGCTGTTGGCTCTCACGCTGGCCAATAGAATCTTCTTGCCTATTCGTGGTAGCCAGCTACAGACTCTCACTATATGAAAACTGCCGTAGAAGCATGAAAAAATCGATTATTTCCACTATCGATGGGAGTTGGGAAATGCAAAGTCGGTCTTGGCCTTTCCGCGAACTTGGAGCATGTGCATGTAAATTTTGGTGCAAATCCGTCGAAAATTGCGTTACACATACACACACATCCTGCATTTTATAGATAGAGATAAAATGCTAAATAAAGATATTTCGTCATAGTTAATTCACATATTTTTATAATCTTGTAAATATAAAATCACTGTTGTAAATAAGCAATCTAATAAATAATTAGTATTTAATGTCTGCGTTGCTAATTGTCTAAAATAAAGGAAATTATTCAAATAACAATATGTCGGCATGGAAAACTGAAACAAATTCTTTGTCCAAAAAAAAAAAAATTACGACTATCCAGAACGAGGCTTACACAGGAGCGTTCCCTATTTAATATTTTGAACAACTATAAAACATTTCGCTTTTAAAGTTGCCTTGATAAAGTTGGAGTGACGAAACGCGTCGGCAATAAGTAAGAAATATTTTTTTACATTTGTCTTTTTTATCCAATTTGTCGCCTCCTCAGACTTATTCTGAGAAATTTAACGAGAAATAAAAAAAAAAAGAAAATGTAGAATTTCATTTTCAAGTGTTTGGTTTTTATTCAAATTTTAATTCTCGCTTTTTGAAAACAAATGTTGCCGAGGGAGTCAATAGTGAATTCAGTAATATTAGTATCAAGGAATCAACCGTTCCTTTGAAACACCTATTTTTTGTGTGCACGAAAGTTTAAACATTACCCGTTGTTTAAAATTATTTCACCCCAAGCAAAGGCAATAACACCATTAAGACGCAAAAGGTCAATTAGTGTAAAAGAATATAAGCAAAAGAAGATAATACTAAGGGGAGAGGACAATCGAACTATTAATTGCCATTAGAACAGCCTTGATCATTGCCACTTCCCTCAAGGTATGACTATACCGTCACGGTTTTATGGAAGGTGTCTCATGTGTCACGTCCATTGATGAAAAGCGCGGCCAACCATGAGAAATGATGTGAATTGCAGGACCCCGTGAACATCGAAACTTCGAACGTACATTGTGGCCTCAAAATCTCTTGGGAGCTCATCAGAAGAAACCAAACTACTATATATGAGTGGTTAGATATGTGATTATGAAGTCCGTGTGCAGCAGTAGTATTAACTAACCTTGTATGAAACAGACTTCAGCTTTAAATAAGGCTTTCAAACTTGAAATGCATCATAACAAGATGATTTAAAAAATAATTCTTTCAATCAAGAACAAGAAATTATTTGAGAAAAAAATAAAACCTAGAATTTCATGCCAGCAACAAAGTACACGGAAAATGTTCAAAGTGTATAGTTTAATATTAAAGTTATATGCAATCCAGTAAAAAACAATAATTCATTAACAACTTTTGCTAAAAGTTAGATATCTTTTATTACTTTATTTGGATCAACTTAAAAAAGTTTGGCTACTTGTTGATTGGTTCATCATGTTCTTTTTTGATTGGTTCATCATGTTCTTTTTTGATTGGTTATAAATGTTAAATATAAAACTTCTGGTCATAAATAAAACGATTATCTATTTTTAGTACGGATTTAATACTAAAGCATCATAATAGTACTACTACTAAATAGTATTTTAGTAATAAACATCATACTAGTATTTGTAGTGAACGAGATAATCAAGTACCCCGGAAAAAAGTTCGTGTTTTGTGTGCGATCTGCCGGGGAGGGATTGCCAAAAAGTAGTCAGCAAAACTCTTATAGCGACTTACCTCGTCAACCCAAGCGAAAAAGAAACAAGTTCGTCGCAGGAGTCGCTATAAGAGTGTATTAATATGCAAATTACGGAGCATCCTTTCCCGGCTGTATTTTAGTACTAAAGCAGCATGATAATACTAGTACTCAATAGTATTTTTGTACTAAAGCAGCATAATAGTACTAGCAGTAAATAGTATTTTAGTACTAAAGCAGCATAATAATACTAGTACTAAATAGTATTTTAGTACTAAAGTGGCATAATTCTCGTACTCAATAGTATTTTTGTACTAAAGCAGCATAATAGTACTAGTAGTAAATAGTATTTTAGTACTAAAGCAGCATAATAGTACTAGTACTAAATAGTATTTTAGTACTAAAGCAGTATAATAATACTAGTACTAAATAGTATTTTAGTACTAAAACAGCATAATAATACTAGTACTAAATAGTATTTTAGTACTAAAGTGGCATAATAATGCGAGTACTAAATAGTATTTTTGTACTAAAGCAGCATAATAGTACTAGTATTAAATAGTATTTTAGTATTAAAGCAGCATAATAGTACTAGTACTAACTAGTATTATTCCTGCCCCTGTGATGTTGTTTCCTGTTTCTTCCTATGGTGGTCATCAGTTCAGTTCCTGGATAAGATATGGAAATCCATATAGACTGATTTATCATGAACAACTGCCATCACCAGGACATTAATAAAACAATATCCCATATCAGTAATAATAGAATCCTAAATTTCCAGGAAGCGGTTCTATAAAGGAATTGGTAATCTTTAGGAACCTATTTTGCTTATTTTCTTTTCAATCTGAGAATGGAAACAAATCACTTTATAGTATGAAAAAAGAATTAAACCATTTTGATAATTTAATGGAAAACATTTATTTATTAAGATATTTCCAAATTTAAATTCTTTTCTCATCATATTTCTGTTCAGATATTTTTTGACTCTAGTGTCATCAGCTGTGCTATATTTTCTTAGCTACATTCGAAATGAATCGCTGCAACCCCAAACATCCAATGAAAGACCTATCAAATTTAGGACTAGAAGATTTGCCACATTTTTAAATTCAAGACGATTTCTTTTGTCAGAATAAATTATGTTCATCACAGAAAACCCTCTTTCTCCACGCCACAGAACTTACAGCAATGTTATTAATTATATTTTTAGCTATTATATATCGGCTATTATTATATAAGATTATTTTCGGATAATCCAGTTAGCCTCCGCTAAGCTTTTATAATTTTAAGAATCGGTTTGCGCGAACTGGTGTGAACATTTAAGCTCCCCCACTGCATACCAGCGCTAGTAGTGAATATCTGGTCAAAGGGTACTTGACCGAATTGTTGTGTCGATAAAATCATCTATAAATACCAAATATGAGAACAACACTTTGTATAAATCGGATGTCAAAATATAGTGAAAAGACTTCATCTAAAAACCAACAATAATATTGTATGATTGAATAAAAATAAAAATAATGATAGTGAAAAGGCTTCATGGAAAAATGTCTCCAAAAATGAAAATAATTCATCATTTAAGAGAAAATATGAAAAAAAAAATCAGCTTACCAGGTGAATGATTTCTGGCCAAGTCTATGAAAAAAAAGAGAAAAATTACGTCAAATATTAAATATAAATGTCACATTTTATTTTATCTACTTATTTTCTAGACAACTTCGCTGTGCTTCGCTGTGCTTCGCTGTGCTTCGCTTCTCCAGAAATGGAATGCAAGCTCATACACCCGAAATGCTTAAAGTTTATTTATACAATTGTACATGCATAAGGGAGATAACTCGAGAATTAGTATTTTTAGTTACTTCCCTTGAATTATTGATCGTAACAATTTTTAATATGTGCATTATTTTTAAAGTATCAAGATTTTCATTTTTTTTAAAGTTATCGAATTATAAGAGTAGCTTAATTCCTTAACTCTGACTTAAATACACAGTTTCAGCCACCGGGATATTATATGCAAACAAGGAAAGTTAAAATTTGATATTATAAAAACTGATTTACCATTTCAGCGACAACAGTTTCACTAACGCACCACTTGTAGAACTCAACTCAGATCTAGATGATGTATGTGTGTAACGTAATAAATATATAGTTACTGCAGATACGATTTTAAACAGGATTTAACAGCGTTAATTGCTCGGGGTAGAACAATGAGGTACTCTACCTTCGAAATGGAAACTTTTCAAGGTTTTTGTCAGCTAACAATATGAATATCAGAATTCTGGACAGATTTTGAAAACTCCAGGCTTCAGCAGATAATTCAAAAGCATAACTGTCGGGAAATGACGTGGAAACCATTACAGCCCAACTATAGAAAACATTGAATTAAACCCCATTCCTATAGCCATTCAACCTGTCACTCAACTGCATATCCTGTATTGTATGATGTTATGTATACATCGACCAGTAAAGGTATCATTATTGCGAAAAGGTACGATTTACAGTAGCCATTTCTTAGGTGACGTTCTTTAAACAAAAACTGCAACCTTTTATATTCTATCCATGAGCGAAATTTAAAGTTTATATTAGATTGACTGGTTCGTTTTTTTTTTTTGTTTTTTTTTTGTTTGTTTTTTCTTTACAGTTTATCAATAATTTGATTAAGTATTGAAAACTAGAAAATATATTTTTTTTAAATTTTTAAGAATTTTTTTCAGATAATAAACATTTAACAAGTCTTACTAATTAACCCATAGTTAGGGGAGAAGAACTAGATTCATACCTTTACCAAGAGTATTTGTGTGTAAGTGAATATAACGAACCTAATGGTAACTGGAACTCGGATGTCCGATTAACAATTCCGAGCCAATATCAATTAAACGGACAGCCATATATAGATATATCAACCGCACACCTGGTAATATACAGGATGTTACTCATCTAGATACTGACCAGACTTGAGATAACTTAACTTTGGTGATCGTGCAGAAAACTGTGTTTCAGCATGATGTGGCCGTAAGGAATTACATATACTTTATAAGATATGTACATAATACGTTGTCTTTATAGCAGAAATAAATATTTCTTATGACTATAAACGTTATTTCTGTGGAAACGCTTACTCGTGTAGACAACATATCTATATATGGATGTCGGTTCGTAGGAACAGAGATGCTTGACCCTCACACACCGAATACGATATCAGCACATATGTATATGGGGGTGAAGGCTTTGGGCAAAACCAACCACACCTTTTTGAAGGACCAAATACAGAAACTACGTGCCATGGAGTCAACTTAGAAGTCTGAAGGAATAATTTGCTATTCGAATGAGATAAATTTGGATTTCTATACCCTGTAATTTATATGCTCTGTTATAATAAATATATTGACCTCTTTTTGTTGATCGGTTTTAATATTTTATATTAGAATTCACTTGGATTATATACAACAGATGATTACACACACACACACACACACACACACACACACACACACATACGCGGAAACGGGTATCTGTCTACCTCCGGAATCGGGTATTTGTCTACTCTGCCCTTCGGCATAGCCTCGTCCGGTTCCTCTCTGCCCAAAAGCAGAGGGTTCGACAGAAAAAAGCTTCCCACGCTGACAGCTCAAGCTGACAGCTTAGACAGCATATTACCCCCACTTACAATAGTGTCCAAAGTATTTGTGAGGATTGGGACATACCCATTAGTGTTCATAGGTACATAGGTATATAACACATACAATTAAACAATCTTTGTTTTAAATATATTTCGTTGAATTTGATACGCCCACATATAGACAGCGGAATGAGAATACTCGAGAATATACCAGTGGATTAAATAAATGTTTTATTTCGAAATTCGCTGAAATCTACCCAGATCGACAAGCATCTGAAAAAGGCCGAAACACACAAGGGCTAAAACGTTGTGATAATAAAAACAAAACAAAAATGAGGACATTCCAAATGGAAATAATGCAAACTTAAAAACTTAACATAAACCAATAACTTCTTTTATTTTTACCCTCGTGTTTAAAAATCAAAATTAGGCATAGATAAAGTTTTAAATGAAGAGAGTAAGTTATTTAAAAAATGAAATATTTCACAAACTATTCTCACGCATAACCACGTCAAAATCTCATCCAATGTCACTCTGCAACTAAAGACCTCATACACTAGATTTTTGGCCAGTCATTCTTTTGCAAATGGATGACAACAGATGGTTAACATACCTTTTATTAACCGGCTGTAATAACTTTTTATTCCTGAAAAATAAAAGGTAAATTGTTATAAGTTATTAAGTGTTAAAACTAATGATTGGTTTCATTGTTTAGGAATTCTTATATAAATAAATTATATTTAGCATA